AATAAAAATCCTAAATCATTAATAACTTTATTTTGTTCTCTTTAGCTTCCTTCAAACTAACCAGTACTGATTTAGGATTTCTCTTTCTTAATTTTTCCCCAATTCTTCAATTCTAACAACTCACGGTGCTTTCATCTTTAAACACATTCTTCCCTCTCCTTCTCAAATTTGCTTTTTTTCATTCCATTTGACTGAACACTCAAGAGATCTTCTGCTGATGGAATTTATGTTTAATTATAAGTCATACTTTAGTAGTTGGTTTATAATGAAAATGTAGAACAATTGTAATATACACCTATAATCAATCAAAATTAGCTCGCAAGACTATGCTCATAATAATCAGAGTCTGCATGGATTTACAACTCTATCAGGACATGATTAATCAGTCCCTAATGCAAACCAGCTCATACTGACACTAGTGACGTCGTTCTATCTTATATTAAAGTTTTGTGGCCCTGTTTCAGATCAGTTAAGAGTTTTTACTTTATATGATAGTGCATTGTTAAATTTACCATCTGGCCAAACAGCTGATGCGGCTCATACAACCCTGAAGAGGCCCCAATGCTTTATCCTTGAATATTTGGTTTACTGCATGGTGTCATCATTCCCAGTTTACAGACTTTTTTATGAGAAATGCAGAAAAACCCACCAATTGGAGTATCTTGTGTTGAAATTAATTTCTTAGAAAAGAGTTCACTTACCTGAGGGCCAGGCTGTCCCTAAAATTGAAATGAAAAAAAAAAAAGGAAAAGAAAATAGTTACATTTTATGTAAAATTTTCACTACTCAACTTTCTGAAAATCTTTACAAAATATTTCTGAAGATGACATTATTTAACTATTTGACAAATTTCAGTTTGTGGTTTTGTGTTTTGGTTTTTTTTTTTAAATACTATCACTATCACCAAAAAAGAAAACTAAGGACCAATATCTCTCAAACATAGATGCAAAAGTCCTGAACAAAATCCTGGCCAATAGAATCCAGCAATCGTGTGTTAGAAAAATACTTCATCATGACCAAGTATGATTCATAACAAGTATGAAAAGATGGTTCAACATAAGAAAAACAATCAATGTAATTCACTACAATAACAAAGCAAACAAAGAACAAGAACCACATCATCATAGCAATTAATGCAGAGAAAGCCTCTGACAACATCTAATTCTCTTTCCTGATTAAAGTACTCAACAGGATAGGAACTGAGAGAAACTTGCTCTACATTGTGGAAAGTAAATACTCTAAATCAAGAGCCAACATCATTCTCAATGGAGAAAAACTAAACACGTTTCCTTGAGAATACGAACCAGACAAGGGTGCCCACATGCACCACTCTAATTCAATATTATATTGTAAGCATTTACTAGGGTAATATGACAAGAGAAGGAAATAAAAGGCAGTCAGATCAGCAAAGAAGTGGTAAACTCTCACTACAGATAGACAACATGACAGTATACAAAGAAAACCCAAAGGATTCAACAAAAAAGCTGTTAGACAAAACAACAATAACAAAAAAAAAAATAAAAAAACCCAAACCCAAAAAAACCCCTAAAACTGAACACAAGCCACAAAAAAGACAATCAAGCAAAACCAAACAAAAACACTGTTAGACCTAGTAGACCAATTCAGTAAAGTGCCAGGATATAAGATCAATATACAAAAATCAATGGGCTTCAACTACAGTGTCAAAGAAAACTCAGAGAAGGAAACTGAGAAAGCAATATCGTTTACAATAGCCAACCACAGAATGAGATAAACCTAAAGGGAGGGAGACACAAAAGATCTTTATGAAGAAATCTACAAAACATAGTTGTGGGAAACAATAAGAAACCTAACTAAAAGGAAGAATGTACCTTGTTCATGGATATGAAGACTCAAATTAGTGAAAAATGACAACCCTACCATAACCAATCTACATGTTCAATTCGATCTCAATACCACAGCAATTAATTTTTTAAATAGATAGGAAAGACAATAGACAAGTTTATTTGGGAAGGAATGAGACCCCAAATAAGCAAAGTACTTTTGAAAATAAAAAAAAAAAAGGAAGAAAGTGGGAGGCATAGCACTCAAAAACTACTACACAGCTGTAATAATAAAAACAGCATGGTACTGGTACAATAACAGACACAGATCAATAGAAGAGAATTGGGAACCCCAAAATTAACCAATCTATCTATGTTCAACCAGTATTTGACAAGGTAATAAAACTCATCAAATAGGCAAATGACAACCTCTTCAACTAATTATACTGGAAAAACTGAACTTCTACCTGCAGAAAGCTAAAACAAGATCCACATATCACAGAATATACAAAAATAAACTCAAGGTGGATCAGAGGCCTAGGGATAAAATCTCAACAATTAAGATCATAAAAAACAAAATGTGACAAAACTTAAAAGGCCTAGCCTATGGTAGGCTGGCAAAAACAGTCAGAAATGCACAACCAGGGAAGGATAACATTGATGAATGGGATTTCCTACAGATTAAGTGTCTTTGTACATCAAAACCTTTTTCTAATATGGAAAAAAGAAAATGAAATGATTGGGGAAACGTATTTGGCGATGACATCTCAAGGGTCTCATAATGAAAATTTACAGAGATTGAGATTAACAGCTTCAGCTTGCTTGGCTCCACAATCAATACTCTTGATACCAGCAGCCAGGAAATCAAAGACTAGTTGTAATGGCAAAATATGCTATCAGGGACCTCTCCAGGGTACTGACGAGCAGCAATGTCCATGTGGAGACTAAGGTGTGCCTGTCTTGGCCGTGGTCTTGACAAGTACTTGTTATGCATCAGAAAACTGGACAATTACAAGGGGTGATAGAAAAAGAATTGATACCTTTGAGTTGTGGTGCTGCAGAAGAATATTGAATACACCATGGATTGCTAGGAGATCAAACAGGTTCATCTTGGGAAAAGTGAAACAAGGTTGCTTCTTGGAAGCAAGGAATGTGAAGCTCCATCTGACATACTTTGAGCATGTTGCAAGGAGGGACTAGTCCTTGGAGAGGAACAACATGCTTGGGATGGTGAAGGGCCAGTGAAGGAGAGGAAGACCCTCAATGAGATGGATTGTCTCAGTGGCTAGAGTAATGAGGATAGGTATATCAAAGATGATGAGGTTGGCTCACGGTAGATCAGGGTTCAGAGCTGTGGGACAAAGTGTCACTATGAGTCATTAGGGACTTAATGGCATATAACAACAACAACAACAACAGGGCTTCCACAAGAAAAAGACTAATAACCCAATTACAAATGGTCAAAAGATATGGAAAGACTTTTCACTAAGGAAGACATGCAGATGGCCAACAGACACATGAAGAAATGCCCAAAATCATTGGCAATAAAAGATACGAATCAAAACTATAATGAGGTATCATCTTACTGGAGTAGCAGTCCAAAGTTTAACAGGACTGCTTTTCCAACAATAAATGTTGGAAAGGATGTGGAGAAATTTTAACTCATAATCTGTTGGTGGGATTATAAAATGGTACAATCACTCTGGAAGGCAGTTTGGTCTGTCTTTAAGAAGTTGATTATGCATATTCCATAGGACTCAGCTATACCACTGATAGGAATATACCCCAAGAAAAAGCGAACTGAGATACAAATGGAGATTTGTACACAGATGTTCAGAGAAGAATTCTTAACGATAGCAAAAACACAGAAACAGGCCAAATGCCCATCAACAAACGATTAGACTGAGCAACTGTGATACATTCACACAAAAGAAGCAACTCAGAAGCAATAATTTTATAAAATATTGTATATATAACATGGGAGATTTTAGAGTGCATTATGTGGCATGAACTAACTCAAGCACATAAAAACAAATACTGTATAAGACCACTATTGTAAAACCAGAAGGGGAGCCAGTGATATGTGTACGGATATGCAATGATGCAAGGGGAGGGGGCAGAAGGGCTGGAAGTGGGGAAGGCAGGAATCATGGGGTCAAAGAGTTTGGTGAGTAGAAGTAAGAAGAAAAAAATGCCACCAGAACACAATGTATGAATGAATGAATGAAACACAATTTTAAAAAGATATATTGTCACATCTCATTATTTTTACTCTCTACTGTTTAAAATTCTGATATTATGATCTTTTATATGTCCAAAATGATTTCAGAATTTTAATCAGCTCCAGAAACTAACAGTAGAAAGCAAAGGGAACATTTTGTGAAAGGAATATTTAGAGGAGACTCCTCTATCACAGACTATAACTATATACTGCAAACTCAAAGATACAAAATTAAGGAGGGTGTAAGACAGATATTCCGTTTCAGAACTGAATCTTTGAATTTGTTTCAGTAGTATTTTAAGATAATTAAAAATTTAAAAATTCTTCCACTCTGCCCAATTCAACTCAAAGGCATTAAAAAGATATAAGAAATGTTTGACTTAATTAAGTGCATCATCATTTATAATTTAGTAAATAGATTATGTACCTTCTGGCCAGTCTTATCCATTATTAATGCCACTTTTCTGGCCTAAGCTGATAAAAGTTTCAAAGAAGCATAACTGTAAGAGCTTTGGGGTGAAAAATAATCTTCTGTGAATCAAAGTATTGATTATGTATCACCTTCTTAAAATTTCCAGTACGGTTTTTTTGTCAGATGAGATTAAAGAAAATATTTGCACCAAGTTATGGAAACTTAGAAAGGAATAATGTATAGTAGATGTAGGTTACTTAATACCACACAGACAAGTTAGAGCTAATACAATGAGAGAAGTCCCAGGGATGTTCTCCAGAAGTATGGGGTTTCTCTAATTTGCTGGAGGCAAAGGAGATGATTCTCAAGAGATTTGACTGAAAATGTGGTTGGTTAGCTTTTATCAAAAAGAATCCCTGTTAGCACCACGGTTAGCCTAGCAGCCAATGTGCAAGAGAAAAGAGGCAGCAGTTTTCCTTCATAAAGAGTTACAGTCTTAGAAACCTTGTGGGCAGTTCTACTCTACATCGTATATGGTTCTTATGAGTCAGAATCAACTTAATGGGAATAGGATTGTTGCTCTACAAATGTTATATTTTCCTGTGCAATGCTTAAAGTAGACATTTCTGCAATTCCACTGAGCAAATAATTTAAACAAAATGTATGCAGGAACTTATTTATAAGCTATTATGGGAATCCCAGAACATTTGATTGTGCTAATGTGAAATCTATACTTGGACCAAGAGGCAGTCGTCAGAACAGAGCAAGGAGACACTACATGGTTCAAAATCAAG